GAGTAAAATAGAGCTTCCATTTCAGAAAAGGGGGCTGTAGTTGTGTGTGTATATGTAGCTTAGCCCAATCCATATAAAATATCCTGAAAGGAGCATTGCTCAAAACGATATACAGCACAATGAAAAAGTATATTCTGCGTGTCTGCAATATTGAATGTAATCAGCTCTGGAATTTAATTAGCAGGAAACCTGAGAGAATAAATAATATGAAATGAATTTAGTAAGAGTATATAAACCAAAGAGACATAGTGGTTTTGCTCTGACAGAGAAAACTTCAAGATTTTTTAAAATTATCATGGCATATGTCTATAGAATTTTTAATCTGAACTTCAGAACTAATGATAAAGGTCTAATAACTTGAGTCTATACTGTGCATCCTTGCTTGATTGTCCTGCTTAGTTTCTAAACCTGAACATCAAAACAGTTTTTATCATGTATATCAATACTGATATAAAAGTGTGTCCTTTTTAGCTGAAACTGTTTCACAATGAATTTTTCCATGTTTTTAAGAGATTTATAGAGTGCAGTATATACACGTACATGTGCTATGTATTAAGTGTTAATAAATTGCAATTTTTTAAGCGAATGTGATGTACTGTAGCGCACAGACCTGTCATTGTCACTGAAATGCCTTCACATCGTAAACAAAGCTCATCTAGCTGCTCTGTCGCCGCCTCAGCCCTCCCCCCATCCCATGGGTTGCTGCATGAGTTTAATAGCCTTTTCCTCTCCTCTATTGCCATTCTCCTCTCTTTGTAGCAAATCCCAGTCTCTTACCAATGCCTTCAACCTTCCAGACACTTCGGCAGCTCCCCGTTCCAGCCTTAGCCAGGACGAGGTGAAGGCTGAGACCATCCGCAACCTGCGGAAGTCCTTCGCCAGCCTCTTCTCAGACTGAGCTGCCGCAGAGACTCTCACACGGTTTGACGGACAGACGGACGGACTGACTGACTGATGAAGAAACACCCCACCCACTGCCACCCCCCTCTCCCAATCCCCAACACCATAAGAACCAATGGAGGAAGCCCCACTCCATTGCTCATTTCCTATAGATGTAGGCTAAAATCCTTTGGAAAGTATGTGCACTCGCAAAACTGTACACTGCCTGCACTGTTCAGCATCAATACTAGAAATGGGCCTGAAGGTACCTGGGTGGAACTATGTTAGAGTGGCCCAGATTGCAGCTCCGCTGTCTCCTTCATTCCAAGATACTGTCTACAAAAGAAGCTTCATCCGCACATCCTTCTTCTCAACTTGCATGTTTGGTCGTGGACTGTCACAAAAAAAAAAGTCAAACACAGCTGTGGATTCTTGTCTCTGTCCTCTTTCCCCTACCAACCCTCCATCACTGGGCACTAACCAGTTTGCGATGCACTGAGAGATTCAACGGACAACCCAAATCTGTTTTTATTTTCTTATTTTAAATATAGATGAATAGTATATTTATATCTGCCTTTTCCATACAGCTGGGTCTTTCAGTTGATTGTAAAGTTGTGCACTGAGTCTAGACCAAGAGATACCATCTCAGACCAAATCATGCAGGCTGTTAGATATATGGAAGGTGTTTTATTTAAATCTGGATAAAGTTCAGTAGCCATAACATTTTACAAAAGTTTACCAAGCATGGAAAATTGCTTGGAGTACAAAAGGCTATAATATGGTGAAAATCAACCCTTAGAAATACAAGGACTCTCAAATGAAATACCATGATTTTAAAGATTGTCTTATTCAACTTCCATATTAGAGACACAAAGTATCACATTCCTCTATTAGCAATGTGACAAGTGTACTAATCCATAGATAATGGAAATAAAACAATTCTTGTGCATGACAATGTGCAACTCAAAGTCCTATGCTTGTGGTGAGAGCACCAGGGTCCATGGTCCTCCTATTCTTCCTGTTTCCCAATGGGTCATCGAAGTGGGAAAAAGGGGCAGATGCTGCACCCTGTCACCCCCCCCCCCCCCCCCCCCCCCCCACTGTGGAGCTTGTCAGCTTGTTGTCACGCCTAAGTAGCTGTTGTGAAACTGTCCTGTGTCGTTTGTCGTGAATATGCCATTGCTGCATCCCTCTTTGGCCTTCCCACTCCCCTTGGATAACATGCATCACCTACCCCAACGATCAATCAAGCTCAGATGGTTTTGTCTCAGGGAAGTCCGTAAGAAAGTAGAAAGCAAAGTGGTTGTGGATTGTGACCCCACAGTTCTCTACAAATGAAGTGTGTTGTGTTTTAAGTGCTGCTACATACTTCTGACAGGAAGGGGTTCAAACCATTTTGTTGTTTTTGTTGTAACCTATCTACGATGAGGGCATAGTCGGAATAAGTCAGTTAGTGTTCATTTCAAGTCTTTTCTTGAGCTTACGTTGCTTCTTGGAAATGCCATGGTACTTGAAACCAGTTCCCAAGGACAGCTGAGTTCTCTTGAGGAACAGCAGTGGGTTAGTGTTCATATCTGCATGTTATGGTGCAAACACCATTGCAGATGGAGAACTACATAATTTTTGTTTTTGTCCTCCAAAAAAAGAAAGTTTGACTTCTTTTACCTCCTATATATTATTGGCAAAAAGCTCAAATTTTCGTGTTGCAAGAAGGCCGGTGTGCACAGTGCAGGAATTTTTGACAAGGTCTTGGGACCCGATCCATGGTCTCTTCCCCATACATTACCACCCCACCCCACCCCCCCCATCCACAGTAACCCTTCGTGAAAATTAGTGCATAAACATGTGAACGTTGTACTGTAAGACATAACCCCAAGTGTTGTACAGGTAGTGAATAATGAATGATGCAACCCTGTAATGCTTATTTTTTATGGCTGTGGCTGTATTTTAAAATGTGTTGACTGAATGCCCACTGTTCTTTCCACATCCTGCCATGTTTAGTCTCAAATTATTTTGTCAGTACCTAGTGGTTTATTTATGATATGATTAAAACAGAATGGAGATATTATATAGCATTTTATATTACAGATGTAATATTCCTTTAATATGATAGCTGTTTTAGACACTTAGCTGTGCTCTGAGCTTCCTCTTCTGTGGGGTGTCAGTAATAACTGCTTTGAATAATGTTTTATTTCATTACAGTGCCACCTTCTGGAATATTAGATCACAAGCTTCTACACAACTGCAAGCTTTCAGATTTCTCAGTAACAATGAGCATATACAATCAGGTGGTCATGAACACTAACGACCTCATTATATGCCTGTATACTATGGGTAATGTTTCTGCACATTTCTGGGAAGTCTGTTTTGGTTTGACATCACTACCCTATAGGTGGAAGTGTTGAGCAAAGTTGGGTAAATGACCACTGCAGGGGTTCACTTCCTTATTTAAAGATATAAGGAAGCTGATGATGTATATTAAGCCCATCTTGGTAACTATGGTGAGTGTTTATAAAACACACACATATGAGGGCACACACTCAGAGTGACATTTAAAAATGTTTCTATTATGCATTTAAAGCACTGAAAGAACTATATTTCACATCTTGTCTGTTGTATTGATTTCATTTTACTCGTTACTTTCCTGCATCTGATGGCTATGAGTTTAATTTCTGTTGTGTGTAAACAATTTTGAATGTCATCAAATATCTATCCATTGTGCAATGACATTTTTCAGGTGATTGATCAGTGTTTGTCTGTTTGATGCTTAGCTGTTATATAAAACAAATGTCTCTATCTATGGAATTATATATAACATTATATATACATATATAATGTTAAATTGAATAATTGTATATCATGTTGTAGTATATTATGTGTATAAATGTTTATGATGTACCTGTCAGTGTAGCTTAATATTTGTGAAAAATATTCTATAGAAATTGAGAAAATTAAAATAGAAAATATTGAATAAAGTATGATGAATCTAAATAGTCTCAGATGTCATCTTCCACTACAAGAGTTTGATCTATAGTTACAGCTAATCTCTTTGGGACAACTGACTAACATTTTGTTAAGTTACAGTAGTATCTACATTTAGTGATTGTGTTGCCTACCAACAGGAACAAAAAAAATGCACCATGCCAGAAATCTCTCTTGGGGGAAATGTTTGACACATCATAGGTTAGGTGTGAATATAGAAAACACATAGTGATGAGAGACCCAGCACCGAGAGCTTAATCATTAATCATTAAACTCTTTCACAGAATGAGACAATGAAAATAATTTTAGATAATCACATCCTGATAAACAAATGTAGCTAAGCTAAAAAAGTCCATTAGGAATCCTCCTTACCTAAACACTTACTGGAAGATCATGGCTTCTAGCATAGGTTAACCCAGCTAACTGATAAATACTGCTTTGTAGAACTATTGCTATTTTATTATCTCACTGTGGAATGTGCAGTGGTTAGCACTGTCAGCCCTGGGTTCGAGTCTCCGCCAGGGTTCCGTGTGTGTGGAGTTTGCAGGTTCTCCCCGTGTCGTCATGAGGGTTTCCCCCCGGTACTCTGATTTCCCCCCACACTCCAAAAACAAGCTGAGGTTAATTGGAGTTACCAATTCCCATAGGTGTGAGTGAATGGTATGTGAATGTGCCCATCGATGGGTTGGTGCCCCATCTTGGGTTGTTCCCTGCCTTGCGCCCGTAGCCTATGGGATAGGCTCTGGACCCCCCCATGACCCTGAACAGGATAAGTGGTTTCAGAAAAGGGTTGGATGGATGGTATCTCACTGTGAAAATGCTGCCCTGTCAAAAATATCCTAATCTTACGGAGTAACCTAAACTTTTTTAACTGGTGTTTGCTTTCAATTTAGTTCAGCAATATCTTTAAGATTGAGAGGCAATGTTTTCAAACATGAACATAAATGCAATGAACAGCTGCATTTTATGCTCTGACAAAAACCATAAGACTGTGATGTGATGATTAACTTTACATAATGAATCAAGTTTTCTACTTTCCTCCCTAACTGTAATAGGAATACAATTTGGGAGACTTCAGCACCCAACTGAGACCCCAATCCCCTCAGCACAGACTGGAGGAAAAAAACTGAGAAACCACATAAATATTCCAGACTTTTATTTTAAGAATAAATCCCGTAGCCATCCGTATTTTTTACAAGACAAAAAATAATTCTAAAAAAACTAAGATTTGTCTCGTTTTAAAATAATTTGTTCTTTTAAAACCACACAAAAATAGAAACAAGTACATTTTTTTACATTAAAAAATGTAACTGTACACAGGACATACCTTTTTGTATTGCAAATGTAACATCCCATGTACCACCCTGATACTGTACAACATCAGTGATCTACATTAAGATGTGTATTTTCCACTCCAACGTACTGATCAATTATTTCTTCAATTCTGAAGAAAATTGACAAGAAAAAAAAAAGCTAATCTGTTAAGGAGGTCAATATTACTGAATCTTCCAATGGGACACTTCTGTCATGTGCCTTTCTGGAATGGAATGCTTTGTCGTCAGCCCTGAGGATCTAGAACGTTCAGGGGCATTCCTACAGCAGTCCCATTCACTTTGCTGCTGCCACTTATCACAGTCTCAGCAGGGCTTGCAGAAATTAACTGGCTGAGAAGCGGGTGGTTAAGGTACCTGAAGGAAAATGAATGTTATTCCCTAAAGATCCTTAAGTTTTAAAGTAATATCCAGTTTTAGAAATGGGTGAAATTTAACACGATAGTTTTCTATGAAACAAAAGCTTCATATTAAACAACCGGATGAGATAAGCATGCACCTGGCTGGCAAGGATTGGGGTTGAATGACACAAAATTCTGTTTTGCTAATATTTTGCTGTGGCAGGCTTTATTTGTCTCTATGGCTCCATGGACATGTAAGAACACATTTTTCTTCATCAGACTGAAGGAGGTTTTGCAGTCGACCCCCCACAGCTACTGGGCTTGCATCCCTGCTGCTTCAGGCATTCAGTATATCTGCTGTACAGTTTACCAGCTTGTTCAGATTCTTTGATTACAAAGGACTCTTAAAAAAAAAAAAAAAAAACTCAAGAAGATAGTAACAAAATAAGTTAGGTTTTAAAAACCTCAGGACACGATTAGATATGTCACAGCGACATCAGGAACAGTTTTAACGTGTAATGTCGCGAAAATTAAATAAAGTGAGAAATCATCTAGGTCACTACCCTGTTTGTTAGGAAATCCCCTGAACCCAGAAACAGAGCAACCAGAACCCTACCAATGAGAAATGGGGTACCCAGCCCCTTATTAAAAATTAAATAATTCTAAAACTCAAATCATATATACATACGCATTTATTCTAGAAACAAAAGCTGTCAGTTATACTTGCTCTGGAGTCCTTAACCAATTGTCAGGCGATGTCGTTTTTAACATGATCATTACAGGGGTGGGCAGAATTATGCATTTCAAAATGCTGCCCTATGCAGACCAGTATTCACAGTACATCAATAAAGACCTGGCCACACCCATCAGCTTGGCACGGGACCATGTTCAACAGCCCTGTCTCCTTCAACCACCACCTGCACTCTACATACATGTATGATTAAGGTCACTACAAGCAAACTCCCCCCAGTAACACCAGTACTACTCACTTTCTACCAGCTACAAACTGTCCAATTCACTGCCAAAATTTCTTCAAAAACTATATATTTAGATGACCTGAACTTCAACCTATGCAGAACAAAGACCCTAACGGGGGCAAAATCTGTGTGTTTATATAACTGCAAGTGAGGCTTAATTCTTAGGGATCATTTAGACACTAATGCCCTGAGCTTGTTGTAGGGAAAAGATGATAACGTGGCCCAATCTGGAAGACTTACTAGATGCTGTAGTCTGGAAAATGTTTGATAATAAACAAAAATTAGGCATTTCCTGACATGACGCAAGTTTCCAATCTAATAAATAATTGATAATAGAACAGATTTGTTGATGCAGACCATTTGTATTAATGTACACCTGTACATAATGCGACACTGAATACAATATAGTGCCATTTTTGCCTATAACAGGTAATTTTAAGATTTGGCTGCACCTTGTAACTGAATCTCAGTTAACCACCAATGTCCCTCATCTGGCAATTACCAGTGTTCCCAAAAAAATAATAATAAAAATCCAGTTTTCCTTTTTTTGTATAGCGCTGCTGCAGTTGGACACCCAATGCCAGCCTCTGCTCTGCAAACAGCAGGTTTTTGTTTTTAAATTTAGTGACGGCCACTTTCCAACTCTGATAATTAAATACATAACTTTCAGCATTCCGCTAGTGTTTGTATGCGTGTGTGGGTGGGGGGGTAACAGCCACATGCCTGTGGTGCCATTTAAACTTCCTGTAGGCTGTATGGCAAGAGGCCGTAAATGGGGACAAGCCAATCTAGCTCTACAATGGACCGGTATCCCAAACAGAAAGTATGCCAGCGTTGTGCTCTCTGCTACCTGGCACAGGTTTCAGGCCCCCTGTGATCCTCACCAGAATATGTAGTTAGAAGACAAATGGATGGATCCAAAAATAAGAATGGATGGAAAAAAGCCAATCGTCTGTTTTTAATTAATTTAAATGGCACAGATTTAGACCATCAGTAAGTCACAGATTGTATTGCTGAAAAAAATAACTAGGCCTCTGACAAACATTATTAAAATGTAAATGAGCAGCAGCTGAAAGATGTCTTCAGCGAATACATGTGTGCTTGATTCAGACATTAAAGCGGCAACAGTGAGGGAGAGTTGAAGCAAAATATACAAATGGACTTATTTAGATACCTTATTAAATGTGCCACTTACAGTGAATGAACCTGCATTGTGTTGCATAGCATTGAGCAGAGTCAGTAATGCGCAAATAAAGTAAGCTGTACTTTTCTGAGGCAATACAAGTTCTACAAATTGGCTAAAAGAAGGTTTACTAAGCAACCTACCACTTCTCTCCATTAAATCAAAGCAAACTAACACCACATTAAGGCATCCTATTTGTAACTCCAGACATCTACATGGCTAGAAACTTTGGGATTGACGCCTCCACCCTCACCGGCATGGTCATAGAAACAGAAACAGGTCCTCTCTCCAGGTTAATCCCTGAAGTCCACAGTGATAACAAAAAGTGAGCCTCTTACACGCAGACACAACCACACAGTTCAAGTACATATACAGAGCTGCAGCCAGCCTACCCAGCACACCGGAGCCAGTACACCCCAATCCTCTTTTAAATCTCCCCCCACCCTAGAGGAAGCAGTGTCTCAGTATTCAGCCTACAGGGAGGCATGCAAGGGCTTAACTTATCTAACTATACAACCGAAAATGCAGAAAAGGAGAAAAACCAAAACCTGATCTTCTGTAAGCACATTTTACACCCAACAGGATGTCTCCTAGCTTCAAGTTCCTTAAAGATAGGCACTATTTCAGTAAACTAAACCATGGTGATTTACTGTGTGAAGCAGCTTTGTTTCTGGCTGTTCCTTAACCCAAAATTTATTCTAGCCCATGGATGGTTTTATTTCGAGTAAAGGCAAGTCCACAAAACCTATCCTTCTCTGGATTGTGGCTGCTTGTTGTTTCAATAGCAGCTTTTTTCAAAGGATTAACCGTCCTTTTAGGCGATGACTACTGTAAGTCTAAACACCAACCAATTTTATTTTTAGCCAATATGTCTAAAAAGGCTGAATAGAGGATGCGGATACTCTAACAGTCGCAGGTCTCCAGCTGTGCAATCTTATCTCCAGCATATGTTGTTACATCTAAATTTCCTAAAATCTAGCAACCCTTACAGTTTATTCTAAAAATTAGTCTACAAACACAGGTTATCTTCTCCGATTTTTTATGCTAAGGGAATACCATGAAGGAGTCAGTCTAGCTCTTGGAGAGGCAAGAATTTACAGGGACCTAATTGCGGAGTTAGGAAAGTCCTTTTGAATATTTCAAATAACTTTGGGATAGGAATGCAGATGATAATTCATTGCCATTCAGGTGTCTGCTTGTGGCTTTGCAGTTGAGCCAGTCCGGACCATCTTTGCGTTCCCTCCCTGTCTTGGTTTCAGCTGATATTTTCTACATATTGGGGTTGCAGTCATGGGCAGTCATGGCTGGTTATGTTGGGACTCCTCCAGCCCCTGCCACCCCCGGAACTGAACAGCAGAGCAGCAGGTCTGGGGATGAGCGCCCCCCCCCCCCCTGAATAGCGATCAGCAGCGTCACAGTGGCATCAGCCGCGTGGCGTGGAACAGGAGAGGGTTCAGATCCTCTGCATGAACCGCACGGTGCAAAGAGGGTTCCGACGCACTCCGCTCAATCTTTGGCATCAGGTCCTGAACTTGCTCAATACCGACCAGGATCTGTGGAGCGAAGCCAACAAACTGATGAGAATGAGGCTCTGTCATGACGAGGCCACTTACGGGAATTCATTAAGTGGATTATGCTCAGATAGACAGTAGGAATTATACCAGCCAGTTTGGGTACAGCTAATATTGGGATGTATTCATGTCATAGCATGCAAGTTTTAGCAAAGTGATGTTGACTAGCTCAGTGGTTCTCAAACTGGGGGCCACCAGATGGCGCTAGGGGGGCCGCATCGAAATTGTAGAATCTAAAAAAAAAAAATTACCTGTATGTTAGAGATGCGCGGATCAGCTAAAATGTCACCCGAATCCGCGGCTTTAAACAAATCATCCACCCGCCACCCGCCCGCACCTATAATTTTCTCTGATATAGATATCCGCACCCGCTTCTTCGTTTTTAACAGCAGATTCAGTGACTTTAGAGCTAATCTGCGCATCTCTGATAGTAAAATAATACGCGTATCGTATGCTGCATTAAATGAACATTTATTCATAAAACAAATTTTGTCTTTGGCCAGATTAACCAACATTTTCTCAATAAAATACAGTCTTTAGCCTACTCCATTCAGACTTTAATGGGAATATCACCGTTTCTGTCGCTGCAACACATAAACACACAATGACTGGATAACGGCAAATTTATTAGCCCTATCTATTCAAATAATACAGAATATTATGCTTTCCAAATAGATATTAAAAAAAGAGAGAACAATTAAGAACTTTTTTCCCCCAAAAAAAACTCGTAGGCACTTATACAGACGATAGGTAACAGGCGATAGGCACTTCGCTAAACCACTCCCACACAGCACTTTTCTTTCCTTCCTTTTGTTTTGGTTTTAATTCTCCCTTTTTTAGTCTCTCTCGGATCTGTTTCGCCTCCATTTCTGCTTTAAGAAATGGACCCCCCTCCTCCCGCCACGCATATATTTTTTTGAGACGAGAGCGCAAATTAGCGACTGTCTGCCTGATGAAAAATGCATTTAAAACATGTTCGTATTTTAGAGAATGTAGTTGATATTTGCATCATTAATGATTGATCTCATCCACCCGCGACCCACCCGCAATTAATTAAAATGTATTTTTTTATTACCCGACCCACCCAACCCGCGGATTATCCGCAGCGCTCGCGGATATAACCGCCATCCGCGCATCGCTACTATATGTAAATCAAGCTTGTCAACCTATGTAAAATATAATGTATTTAAAAAAAAATAGAAGTATAAAAAAAATGTAAATATAAATTTTACGTAGCACACTACGCTGCTATGGACATCATAAATTACTGTTCAGTATTCAGTAGCCTACTTTTGTTGCACTTTTCAGACAATGTTAGTTTTACTGTCAAAACTGTTTTAATACAATGTTATATTTTGTGAAATGTAAATTTAACAAACCAGAGAAATAAAGACTACAAACAGAATCTAAAATCTAAAATTAAGTAAAATTGTAAGTTTGAGGATGTTTTGTGTCATGATTTTTTTTTTGAGGAGGGGGGCCACAAAAGGATTCACCCTACACAAGGGGGCCTCCTGCTGAAAAAGTTTGAGAACCACTGGACTAGCTATAAAGACAGAGGTAAGCAGAATCCAGGCAATCTCACCTGTGGGAAAAGGGGCCTTTCATCCAATTTGAACTTCAGGCAGTCGATGATGAGTCTCTTCATGGCTTTTGGAGAGTTGCTGTACAGCTTACTAAGGTCGGGGGACAGATAGCCACGCCCCACCATGAAAATGATCTGAAAAGGGAAGATACAAGCACCTTTGTTTTTAAATACCCAACACCAGCAAGGCGGACCACTTGAGGCGGACTGAAAGGTTGTGAGTGGAATTTACCTGATCACGGTTGCTGATGTTGGAATAAGGCAGCGTGCCAGACATTAGCTCATACAGCACTACACCATACCCATAGACGTCTGACTGGAATGTGTAAGGGTTGCTGTCTTGCATACGGATAACTTCTGGGGCCTGGAAAATGAAGTCCACGACTGTTATAAACAGAATCACTTACAACAGCAGCCACGGTTATGAAATTTTACTATTGCCATCCCTGCTTGAAATATACATCAAATCGTTAGGAAGTAACAAGGCAGCACTAAAAAAACACTCTGGACAAACAGTTTGACCCAAATGTCAGTGATGCCAAACAGGCCTCCTGAGCTACTCTGGAATTTCCAGTGTTACCTACCATCCAAAGAATTGATCCACTGGGCTGCTCCACCTGCTGGGACCCACTCCAGCGTGACTTGACCGTTGCCAACCCAAAGTCCCCAATCTTAACCGTCCAGCCCTCATGGAGAAAGATATCTGAGAGTTGAAGTCAAGGAGCATACAAGTGGTCCCTGGTGGTACAGGACTAGGTAGGAGTGACAGATGCAGATGACCAGCTCCATCCCTTCACCAGGATGGTAACCAAGCAGAAAATAATCTACTTTGTGAACAAATGAACGGTTTCACCATGATGCATCTCCATTAAGAGGGTTTTTGGATTTGTTACTAGACCAGGACAAAAAACATTCAGTCATTAAAAAGTCAATGTACAAAACAGAACTGCATCTCTATGTGGCAGCTACTTAGACAACACAAAAGTAAATGTTAACTAGAAGGATACTGTTTGATTTTAGATCTCTGTGGATGATATTCTTAGCGTGAAGGTAGCTGGAATTAGAAATAAATAAATCTTAAGGCTTGGACCTGCAATCACCTCCAGTGCCTTCAGTTCCATCACAATATACTTTGTGTATTAGGATGAGCACAACAGAAAGAAGTTCACAAAAAGGGACCAGGCTACTGCTCCATAAATATCCTAAGATACACAATGCATACAAACCACATCTGTGTACATGGATGTATTCAAATGCAATACAACATATGAGTGCTCTGTGTGTGTGTGTGTGTGTGTGCGCGCGAGTGATAAAAAGCCTGAAATGTGATAAAAGCCTGAAATGTTTTACCTTGTGGGGACATTTTTTCACTCCCCACAAGGATCACCTGTGAATGCAATAAAAAAAAAAAAATCTTGTATTTTGTTTGGTTACTTATGGTTAAGGTTAGTGCTGGGTAGGGGTTAAGGTTGTCATACAGTAAGCCCTCGTGCATTTGCGCTTCGTGATTCGCGAATTCACACATCCGCGAAAATTTAATTGGAACCGAACTTATATGCATCCGCGATTTTTCTGAACAACTAATTTTCATAGTAATTTATAAGTTTTCATGCCTTTAAGTGTAAACTTGGTAAGAAAAATTTTGTTAATGAAGATTCTACTGTATTATATAATATAAATCAGTTAAAAAATCCCTTAAAAAATGTGGCTCTCTTATGGAAACGTTCCTTTTTATGTACATACTGTACTGTACCTTTACAAGATGTGAATCCCATTCGCAAAGTTTATTCCCTTTGGAACTGTCATGACCTGTTCGTCTGATTCTCCTGTGTGCCACGCCCCCTCATCTACCTCATGTAGAATCCCCGTGTGATCAGCTGTATCGAGTTGCTGTCATTAGTACTGAGTATTTCAGTCTACGTTTAAGTATGTTTCCCAAGTGTGGTTACTATCGTCATTTTGAGTTTGCTAGCTGTTCCGTTGTCCTGCTTGTCTTTACCTTTTGATTAAACCCCGTGTTCCCCGATTCCTTGCGTCCTGTCCCTGCTTCCCCAGTCCGTGCCCCAGCAATACATGACAGGAACGCTAATGGTTACATAAATATTAGAAAATAGTTAATTTACTATCTTGTAATGGTACGTACATGTTAACGTAAATTCAACGCACAAAAATTATAAATTTAATTGAAAGGTGCTAATGTTTATGTATATAGCAAATGCATCCCGTGATTTCCTCTCGAGACGAATTTGCTATAAACACTGAAAGGGTTCATTTACTCATTTTACCCTACTGTGAATGCAAAAGAAAACGGCAGTCAATGCCATGTTCTATGAATTAGTAGGGGTAACATTAGTATACTGTACTGTAAATGTGCTAGTGTGACAAATATCCGTTAGGCAATACTGTACTCAATTTTTACTAGTGCTGTCAAATGATTAAAATTTTTAATCAGATTAATCACAGGGTTCCTGTGGATTAATTTTGATTAATCATGATTAAATATCATTCATTTTTAATCTATATTAATCACATTTAATTTTGCATGAGCAAACAGACTCAAGAAAAAAGGATATATATATGCACTTAACATGTTTATTATTTATCTTGAACATGAGTCGGATGCATTCCATCTGTCACAGAAGTGCAATACCATGGACCCATATCAAAAAGCAAGATTTTTTGCTTAGCCGGACAACTTGTCGGATTTAAGGTACCTCAGTTTAAATGGTCTTTATCTTCGTTCGTTTACAATTGGCACGAACTACCGTAAACCCGACAAATAATCCAACTAATCATGAAGTCCAATTCTAGCCCGGTTAATTGCCATTGTTAGCAATATCAGTTGATAACACATTACGTGCGGTGCTTTACATATAAAACTCCGTAGCAACACATCCACAGATAAGTTGGACGGTATAGCGTGTGCGAACTATTTAATGAGCCACAAATGAGAAGTAGTGCTTAAACAGTATAAGACTACAACTTTCCCTTCTGTTGATAAAGGGCACAGCAATCTTGGATTCTGAACTCGGGATCCTCTGTGCTGCTCCGAGATATTTCTCGGATGTCCGAGAAACGGGAGCGCATGTAGTCACTTCCGGCTTCAAAACTCCGGAATCCGACTCGGAATACAAGTTCCAAGGGGAAATGGAACGCACTAAAACTACCCGAAATGAGTTGACAGAGACATTTCAGTGATTTTTAATCATTCTGCGCTGCAGATGGGTTAATTGCGTTAAAAATTTTAATCAGATTAATCATGATGATGGATTAATCTGCGTTAACCCGTTAATTTTGACAGCCCTAATTTTTACATCAAACGTTTGATTTTTAGAAATGTAATGTATTAAGCTAACTTTTAAATGAAATTAAAGTGTTTTGGGAGCATATTTAGGATTTAAACTATAGAAATAAGCACATATTACCATTTTTAGTGACTCTACCAAACATCCGTGAATCTTCCTCATCACGTAACATCGTAAATGTCCGAGGTCTTACTGTTGTTGGGAGTTTTGTCCATAGAAATGAATGAAGAGTCCCCATAAATAAACAAATACATGGACTGTGTATGTGTGTGCTTGTGTGTACGTGGGTGCACACGTGATAGAGGGTAGTCCGTCTTACTCCATGCCCTGGGCTGTCTGCCGTGCCACATCGATGCGTCGCATAGTGTCGAACTTGGTTTCTGTGACGTGCAGGTGCCGGTAGAGGCTGCTGCCCTCACACCACTGCGTGATGATGGCAAACTTGGGCTTCGTCATGAAGCCCATGAAGAGTAAGATGTTGACGTGACGCGTCTTCCTGGAAGGAGAAGAACAAAGTCAAAAATCGAGTCTCCCACTACGCATTGTGTCTCCCGCCCCGATTAATTGCCAGCAGCCAATACAACAGTATTGCTGGCCCACAACCCGGCTAACATATCGCTGAAAGCAACCACCAGGGCCACTGCTAGAGCTTTTGGGCCCCATGAAAGTGCATCATACTGGGTCCCCAACCCAGACTAATCTAGTCATGCTGCATCATCCCCTGGCAACCACTTATACACGTGACACGTGAGCTGGGCTGACCTGAGCACCTGCATCTCATTTTTGAAAGCCTGCAGCTGCTCTGGCGTGGGGTCCGTCACCTTCAGGATCTTCACAGCCACATCCCCATGCCACTTGCCCTTGAAGACGGTCCCGAAAGACCCGGTGCCAATGCGCTTCAGAATGGTGACCTCACTTGAGTGCACCTCCCAGTAGTAGCTTGAGTCCCGATTTCCACCACGGTGCTGAAACACATTTCCATTCACCAAAGCATGGACACCTCCAGTTCAGATGTCAAAATATGTGAGAGTTAATCAGTAGCACTTGATTACGTTAGAACCTGATACTGAAGTTCTGTTACAAGCAGAAGAAACCCACAAAGGTGAACCAGGGTGCCAGCAAACAGCTGTAATTCTTAAACCAGCTCACCACTTTCTTTTTGTCATCTGAGGAGGAGGACTTTCGCTCCTTGGTCTCTGAAGGAGACTTGGGAGGCCGTTTCCCAGGCGAACCAACAGAAGGAGGACTGGTGGAAGGTTTACACAAAGTCTCCAATCCTGGAATCAGGGTAGCAAACACAAACAAAACTTTGACTGGAATGGGGGAAAAGACTGAGAGACTCTTCAATTATGGGATTACAGCTTGAATCAAACCTCAGCAGAATAATAAACTCAGAAGAGGTGCAGTCATGCAAGTTTTATTCATGAAAAATGTAAAAAAGTAAAAAAAATAATCAAATACTCACCCATTGAGTTGTTTTTAATTAGTGCTTCCTACAGACAAAAAGGCAATGTTTGCATTTTAGGTATCTAAATATAAAACCAATTATAATCAAAAATAAGGAAAAATACATCTTACTGCAAAATACAGGAAACCTTCAGAAAATTCTTTTGAATTGCATCGGTAGATACACCGTGTTACAGTCTCAAATTCTCCGCCCAGATGAAATTGAGCAAAAAGCTGAACCATAAGGTTAATGAACCAACAAGCACCAAAGTTCACCTCGATAACTCCAGGCCCTACTGTGCTGAACATGTGGACATTGGGAGTTGATGTGGACCGGTGCCGCTGAAGGGACTGGCTGCCAGAGTCATGGGCGGGGAAGTGGAATGGTGAAGAGGGTGACAGCAGCCCCCCCCTGAGAGAAAAGTGGGAGAATGGTACAGATGAATGGTTTCTACCATGAATCAGATTAAAAGATCAGTGCACACAGGATTCACATTAAAGGACTTGTATTATTGTATTAAGCGTCATCAAATCAACCACTGCATGTTGAAAAAAATGTATCCAGGTAATTTAAACAGTTTTTTTTTTTTTTTTACATAAGTACACTAAAGATAAGTCACAATGCTATCATGAATTGGCACATTTGAATCACAACACACTATATGGTTACACGTGCAAAAAAAAGTTCATAAAACCACTCGGGTAACATTCTTTATACAGACCCTAGGTTACTGTTCCAAGTTGGTCTTAGTCCAATTTGTAGGTAAGTCAGATCAATAAATAATAATAAACGTAACTATATACGGTACTGTACAGTACCTCAAGCCGAGGTAGCACTGAAGCAGTGTAATGTTTTCATAAGTGTCACTAAGCCAGGGGTGGGCAATCTTATCCGCAAAGGGCCGGTGTGTATATAGGTTTTTGGCATAATCTGTAGGTCGATCAGCTGTTCAAACCCAGGTATGAGTACTCTTCAGCCAATCAGTCCTCTAATTAGTAATCTAATTAGGGAGTTGCAGCGAAAACCCGCATACACACCAGCCCTTTGCGGATAATATTGGCCACCCCTGCACTAAGCAGTGCATGCCTTCGTTATTACAAACCATTGTCATTGACTCAAATTTTTTATATAATAGGCTTTATGGCAGCCTGTTCGTAAGTACAGCATTCGCTTGAACACATGCATTGCAATATTCGGTAGCCTAAGAACTACAAAAACTAGTTTTAATTGTGGTTTTCACAAAATAGACTGAAAAATCCAACAGTAGAAGGATGAACATCTTTTCATATACCAGAAAGAACTTACTTAGGCTCTGGGGATATGTCTGGTATGAGTGTGATTTGAGGATACTCATCTAGGCCTGTATTGGGTAATCTGTCCAAAAGAAAGACCACGGTCTGTTAGTCGCCTGTCAGTGCAAACAGCAGGGAACCCACAGAGATTCAGGGCATACACAAACCCTTCACTCACACATGGTGTGTGTGATAAAGCACTCACATCTTGTTCATTGTGTCCATGTCCACACACACTGTGGGCACCTTGCTGCTGCAGTGCTGATGGAACTTGTACCCACAGGTCTGACAGCGGAAGCCATTAAAGAGGAATTTGTGGCAGAAATCACAGTAGGCCAGCTTCAGGAAGGTCTTACGCACCTGTGAACAGTAATTGGAACAGCCAATTGGTGAGTGACCTGACAGTGACATCTCCTCTCTAATGGTTGCAGTGATATAGGCAAATTCAGGGTATTGAGTAAGGGACACCCTGCCGGTCCATTGAAGAATAGGGACAATTTAAGTTACCAATAAACCAACTAGGGGCAGCGTGGTGGCGCAGTGGTTAGTGGTTTGCTGCCTCACAGCAAGAAGGTCCTGGGTTCGGTCCCAGGGGCTTCCTGTGTGGAGTTCGCACGCTCTCCCCGTTTTCACTGGGGGCTCTGGTTTCCTCCCACGGTCCAAAAGCATGCAGGATAGGTTGATTGGTGAGTCTAAATTGGCCCTGTAGTTGTGTGAGTGTGTGCGCCCTGCGGTGTGTTTGCGACAGCCCACGGTTGGTTCCTGCCTGCGCCCATTGTTTCCAGGATAGGCTCTGGTACCCCCCACAACCGCAGTTGGGATTCAGCGGTTTCAGGAAATGGATGGATGGACCAACTAGCGCAAACATGGGACAACACAAGACTCTGAGATTAAACTAATACTGAATGAATGATACCAGCTCTACCTGTACCCTATAAATGTTTACCCAAAATGGTTTTATTAAAAGAAAAAAAAGGTTGATTTTACAAGGGAGAGACATGGGTAAATTCCCATGGCAAGATCACTCACAAAGTTGTGCATGGTAAGGGGGACGTCATCCAAGATCTCCACAAGCAGCTCCTCCCCAACAAGCGGCGTAATGTCCGTGCTCCAGTCAGTCAGTCTTTTGTGACTGGGACAGACATACATATGATGGTCACTGTGTGTATTTTCTGCACATCCACAACACATTTTTCTGCTAGAGTGACTAAGCTCATGTTAAGTTATACTGCTTAAGATGGTGTGGACGACTGGTTCTTGAAGCATTGGAACTGGGGTTGAGAAAGCTGGCCTTGATCCTTTGCAACTCATAAAAATTTCTATTTGACATTTACATGAGATCTGCCAGTATCAGCACTAATGGCCTATACATACATTTCTCAGATTAGCTAATTTCAAAATTTCTCACACACACCAACATAGACATACAGACAAGTTTCATTTATGTTTAAATACAAAACGATACAGATACATCAGGAAACACTAGCACCGCAAACCAGTCCTGATGAGAAATGTTTTGCATCTTTCTGCAACTTTAAGCAACAGAGCAGAGTAGAACAAAGCACTTACCCCTCAAGAAGACGAAAAACAGCACAGCAGTCCTGGCTGAGTCCTCGCACTTTCAGAGCTTTGTCCAGGCTGTCTCGGACTGTCTGCCCAGGCCGAACATTCACCTGGAGATACAGAAGGTTGACCCGCCATTAAAGAGGTCATTCTACTGCTAAACACAAGACAATCTAAAGTTAAAGAACTCAGACTGTCATTGCATACAAGACAGCAATCTGTTACTAGAAGCAAACTTCTGAAACTGTAAAAAGAAGTAGGTAGGCTCTTTACATAAACTGCACCTTCATAATGCCTTTAAAATGCACTTATAAAACAGTCATAAGCAGCCTGCACATATATCTTAACCTAACATACCTCAACAGCTTTACTGTACATTAATAAAGAATATAACCAGCATTATAATCAGGGATGCACATAACTGGTATGCAAGTGCATATTCACCTTTAAGAACGATTTGTGCGACAATCAATTGTTTGTAAAAGCGCGAATGCATACCTATGTGCATTTGCGCTGCTATGACAAGAAAATACCTTGCATTTTAACCCGTATACTGCAAATGAAGTCGAGTGACCATATGAAGATTAAAATACAGTACCGTTCTTAAAGCTGAATGCGTACTTGCGTACCAGTTATGTTCACCCCTCATTATAATCCTATAATTGTATATTTGTTATTAATGTATAGTAAACCTGTTAAGATACTGAATGTTCAATGAATGCATAATAAATGCATTAGGATGTAGTTAACGTAAAACGTTACCAAGAAGTTAGACCAAATAATACTAGAAATGTAAAACTAAGCATGTTTCCTGTCATCAATAGAAAGGCATTTTGAAATCTATTGCATTAATATTCTCAGTATTTATTCCCAAATTACATGAATCTGCAGAAAGACTGCAATGTTCTTGTAACACCACAGCATAAGTTAAAATTACTGTTAAAATCAGACCAATTAAGGTCAACTATCATGATGTGTGTTCTTAATATGCTTCATGAATATTAGACCTGTAACTAATATAAGCATTGCAAAACCAGGGCCTGCAGCCAGAATATTGGGCACATTAAGTCTAAGATGGGCGACCCGACAGCAGCCACCTACCACAGTGCGCTGCTTATTAGGGAGGTAGACACGAATGGTACCACCACCACGGGGCATGTCCTCCGGGCTGGTCTCCACGGAGGAGGAGCAAGAGGAGGAAGACGACATGGTGGGAGGCAAAAGGAGTGGAGGGGGGTGTGCTGACAAACTCAAGCCACTGGACAGCTTCATTCAATGGGGGCACAGACACAGAGCCTCACCTGGAACCTGAGACACACTAATTAGAGTAAGGCACATAAGGCAAAGCAATACCGGTCACCATTTTAAAGGGAATTATCAGCATTAAATATCGGCTCATTTTTAACCATTGTGCAATACCGATGGGATGTTGGCAAAAAATGGTATATTCAGTACACCCCAGATGGTTCAATACACACACGTGAACAGTATTACGATATTTTCCTATTTGTATTGGCACAAATATATATTTTTGTTAAATACATTTATTTTGCATTATAAAGATAAGATTTGGTAGCAGTGGCCTGACATGCTTCTCTTTTTATAGAAGAACCTCACCATAAAGTAAGGCATCAACTTGTTTGAAACTGTTTTTACATTTAATATTTCCTATAGAAATATGTATCCTGTTATATATAACAAAGAAGGTAAATCACTTCCAGGTTGTCAAAGCTTAGACAGAATAGTAACAGAATGCTTAGACGGGTAGCTGACTTAATGCTACACTTTATGATTTTTTTTATTTAATATTGCCTGTACAGGTAATGTACATACTTGGTACACTGTTAATTTAAAATTGATAACCTGTAGGTGCGTTGTCTAAGTGAAGAAGCACTTCAAATGCTCAACAGAGTGGCTTTCAAAGTGTACAATGAGGGAGGAGGGGCATTATTATAATTACACACATATGCACCAATGCACACATTATAGAAAATGTAGGCATACTGGTGCTCCAATCAGTTAGGTAGAAAAAAAAACCCCACTACCAGCAGCTGCCACAGAGACCACGGAGAAAGCACTTCCTAGTCTCACATGATAAAACATTCATCCAGGCAGTCTAGGGGGTGCACAGTCTAGTTGGCTGTACTGCTCTGCCTAGTGTTGTATTACTCGAGACCAGTTTTGGTCTCAAGACCACATTTTTGTGGTCCTGTGTCCTGTACTACGAAGCGGGGTTACTGGCTTATCGGGGTAACTTGTCGGATTTAAGGTACCACAGTTTAAATGGACTTCATATTCGTTCACTTACATTTTGCCCAGACTACCTTAAATCCGACAACCCCAATAAGCCAGTAACCCCGCTTCGTAGTACAGGCCACTGGTCTTGGCTTGGAATCGACTTTATTTTGACTCAGTCTTAACTTGGTCTCGGACATAGAAAATGCAAAATGTGTTGATTTTCTGCACCCAGTTACCTCAGACTTGTAACTTTGGACAAGTATAATGCACAGACATGAGTCGTAGATCTTTGCAATCGAGAGAACTTACTCGACCTGGTCATCTAAGTTGCAGCTCTGTGCACTAAAATTTTCCAGAGTAATCCTGTGTGTAATGAGGCATATATTTTAAACATTTTCCATAAAAAAGTACTCTAATAATTCATAAAATATTGATATTATCCACATTAGACAGAAAACAAAGCGCATATCCACTTCCGCAATGATCCACGCACGACCCTTCTAGGAAAAAAAATACTGGTAACACTTTATTTAAAAGCAGTGATTATACTGCATTATACTATAATCATAAAGTATAATACACATGGCTATAAGTATTCGTAAAAAGGCATAACATTATAGTCATGTGTATTAGGCATTATGAATGCTCTGTGAAGGTCTCATCTATAATGCACAATAAATACCTTCATAATGCAGCACAAAACATCCTTAGTTGTTATACTGACCATTATTATGCATTATGAAGACATTCATAGTGCATTATGGATGAGACCTTCACAGAGCATTCGTAATGCATGAGAAACATGGCATAATGTGTCATGCCTTTTCATAAATATTTATAGCCATATCAATAATACTTTATGAATGCTAATGAAAACTAATTAAATGTTAGTGAATGATTTATAAGAACAGCAATTAGGCTTCAAAGAAAGTGTTACCAAAATACTTATAATTTATTTATTATAAGCCTATAAAGAAAGGGATAGAAAAACACAAAAAAATGGGCTGGGGTTTTACTTTATATTTTCACAATATTTATTCTTTATTGTACATGTATGTTTGATGTTGCGCTCTGTCAAAACAGTTAAAATAGAATGCACCTATTGTGTCACTGGAACACCTCCCACATGTAAATGCAATGACGTGTTACAGCGTTGGTTTGTTGTTTGGGGCTAAAATGATGACTAAAAGTTTCATTCTCGAATTTAACTTTACCAATCATAGCGTACATAGGTGGAAAAACGATGACAATAAACATTCAGCATTAGACTCTAACAAAACAAAACCATAAAGCATATGTGGCCATCTCATGAACATACAGTAAAATCCCATTATAACGGACTTCAAGGGACCTGGCAAAACAGTCCGTTATATCCAAAGTCTGTTATATCCAGAGTTGCTGAATGGCCAGAACACAACTACAAGACACCATTTACTCATGTCACACCTCAGCAGACACACTTGTGGTTTAGATTATTATATTGCACATGTAGTAATCCAACTTCACCTGGACAGATGCGTGACTAATAATAATCACCAGCACAACACATGCCTTGTAGGTGGAGCCTGCATGTAGATTACAGTTAAAAGTGGCTCAGGGGACCAAATTATTTGTCCATTATAAGCGAAAATCCATTATATGTGAGTCCGCTATGTTCAATGCTTTTTCTACATGTTCTTAAAGGTGCACGGCCGCACGCAAGACCTCGTCCGTTATAGACGATATTCCATTTTAAGCGAGTCCACTATAACAGGGTTTTACTGTACAATATAATAAGCCTAAAAACAAAGGGATGGAAAAAACGCTCAAAAATGGATTGGGTTCAAAGGGTTAACACTGTACTGTGATTGAAGCAAGATGTTTTACACCAAAAGTTCAAATGCAATCAATAAAAAGTGTGTCTAATTTAATAAAATCGTACAGAACATTTGTACAGAAGCATTTATATTGCCTTCTGCAAAAAAAACGGTCGCAAAATAAAATATCTAGTCACATTTTATAAAATATCTAGTGACCATTTTAGTCGCCATCTGGAGCTCATCGGAGATTATTCGACGTTGACTCGACTTTCACGACATAACGGTCAACTTGAGATTTAATTCATTCATGGAACCCCTATAACGGACAGAAGCTAGAAAGCCTCCATAGAGCAAATCATGCTGAGGGCCACTAGGCTGGGTCTTTCAGCATCATCTTCTTTCAAAACATACTTCAGAACAGTACTGAACTTTAATATCAGCAAGGGCCAATTAGCTTTAAATATAGGGTCAGTCTCCAGGTTACAAACGAGATGCATTCCCTGAGTCTGTCTATAAGCTGAATTTGTAGGTAAGTTGGATAAATAACTCAGTACATCAAAAATATTATATAGTAATAATAAAACTACATACAGTACTGTACGTTGAGCTGACAAATCTCTGAAGCTGTGCAATGTATTCACAAGCATCACAAAGTAATGTGCACGCTCATTACGACAAACTATTGTATTGAACCCAAATTTATAATATAACAGGCTTTATGGCAGTCTGATCATAAATATGAATTGTCCCTAATTTAGACAGACATTCTTAATTCTCTGGGGACTGACTGTACCTAGAGCTGGGCGGTATGACCAAAAATTTATATCAAAGTATTTTTCAAAGTTATACCAGTTTCATGGTACACGGCGGTATTTTGACTGGCTGTTTACCACATTTTACAGGACACATTTTTGTTTTATGCTTTTGCATTGTTCCCACATTAACTGTATTATTTTATTATTAACCATTGTGCCTATCCACTACCTTAATAACATACGGCTAATGTGTTTGTTGGCCAACTGCTTATAAATGGCTAATGTTAAGGTGTGCGCCAGCCAAGTTAACGTTTTTGATAAGTGTTTAATAGTTCAGTGTTGCTGGAACGTGAGCTTTACTGACCTCGCAAAATTTCTCATAAAGACCAGGATGTCAGTCTTTAAGATGCTTCGCCAGGTTTGACGTGCTACTTGATTTCGTTGCCACAACTTTGTAGCACTATTTGCATAGAGGCTTATCGACATCCTTAGCCTACGCTCGTCTGCAAAATACTTCCAAACGGCACTTTTGTGTGTTTTTTTTTTTTTTTTTTTTTACTAAAGCAGCTTGCGAAGTGTCTTCAACTGCAGCATATGCCATGTTCGGCAACTCAGTATGTGTGTGTTAACCAGCGTGAATGCGTTCGGCGGCTATTGAGAGGAGAGGAGGGGCTGCGCAAGTGTGTGCGTGCGTGTGCGTGCATGCACACCTGTGCTGTAGTGGTGCTGTGTGAAGTGTGGCGAATGAGGTGAAAACCGCACTGTTGGTATCTATAATGGTGAAAATGAGTATCTAATCAGATACTAATTTTTAATATCAATTAGTAATTGAGAACCAATTTTTGACAACCCCAGTGTCTCAATAGTTTCAACTCCAGCATCAGCTATATCTTCCGTTTCTGATCTTTCGCGGTACATTTTTAGCGATACAGCAATGAAAAAGGTCCCCCCTTAAACAGTTTCCAGCTGCGCCTCTTTCCAAACATTGTGTAGGCTATTTAAACCAGTATTGCGGTATAAGAAAAATTCACATAATAACAATAATAGAAAACGGTTTTCAGTACGAACCGGTATACAGCCCAGCACTACCTGTACCATTACCTGCCCAAAAATTATTTTTATAAAATATCTACAAAAAGTTGACAACACACCAAAATATCAATCTAGTGGGTTCACATTACCAACCCTTTAAAAACACACACACACAGAACCTCATAAATATGTTTAATTCATGACTATTTCAATTAATACCACATTTTCACCACAAAATCTAGTCTAGGACTTTTGTATAACTCCATAGGCACAGCCAAATTTTAGGGCATCACATTCCATTAAACAAGCCAAAGGCCTATGTTTGGAGAGCAGCAAAAAAGCAGGCTGGTTATGGAAACTGCTGGAAGCAAGAGCACAAGCCTGAGGGAACAAGCAAAACTGCCTGTGTGTCCATATCAGCACTCTCTAGGGGTAAACCTTGGCAAGATGTTCCTCTGCAATCAGCAAGACAGAAGGGCAAGTCTAAAGTGGGTTTTCCTGCATTTATAAAAGCATTCTTAAACTGCTTGTCCAGAACAGTTTACCAGTAGGATAAACAGTATAAGTATGTCCCTCCAACAAAAAAGTGCCAAGAAAAGGCACTAATTACAATCTGTTATATACAAAGGCCACTTTACATATTTACATGCTTTCCGCCATCTCTGCCTGCCATGTGACTGTCCAGGTAAGATGGCAATCCATCCGCACTTGGAGAGTCATTGCTAGAGCTGCAATTGTAACCATGGGATGCTAATTAGTCAACACTTTCGCAGAGTAACTTAGCTTCATTTATTTATGCAGGTGGACATTTCAGTGACTGATTTAGATTCAGTCCTTTGCTCCATGGAACAGGTAGCAGGGCTTCTCATGGGACCGAAAGTAACATGTTCATTACCTATGTCACATACATGCCTCTCACTCCTCAAGACTCAATCTTAAAATGTATGGACATTTTTCCACCACACCAAGTACTGTAATTTTGGTACTTTCTTGAAGTACCAAAAATACAGTACCTCGAGGTGTTGGTTTTCCACTGGTGTAAAGCCTGGTACTGCTGCCAAATGACATCACAACACGAGGCAGGGTATTTTGTGATGAATTTGAAAAAATTCTTAAATGTTTAGAAAACAGTTAAAAGTTAAAAGGTGTTCTCAGAAACAATTGTAATCATTTTCATACTTGCCGTTTATATCACTCAAAGGTGGGTTTGTGAGAAATTTATGAACTTTTTGTTTTATATATACCCCAATATTTATTACAACAAAATCACATTGCTAGGACAGCACGCTATAAGTCTGTTGTATTAATATATTGAACAAAATACTTTTTAATTCCTTGTCATGCCATCCAGATCTTTTTGTTGTACATGCTCTTATGACCAAATTGCATTTTTTTCTCTTCATTTATCATTATTTTCTGTGTTTGCAATTGTTTTCAAGGTGGCGTTTGTATTGTGTTTCAGCAGCAGGCAATTTGCATAACCAAATCGACAAAGAAAGCATTTCAAGTCCCACCCCAAAGTACCGAAGTACCAAAGAAGTACCCCAGCTGGTTTGGCACTTCCAGTTCTGGTACAACAAGAACAGTACCCCTTATTTACTAGTGCACACATAACTAATGCTCATACAAACCAGATACCACTACAGCAAATAATACACTGATACATTTGGTACCTATTTAGCAAAATTCTGGAGAAAAAAAGGCAGCTGTAGAGCAAAGACATACAAGATCACATTAGCCAAACTATGACAGAACCCACTGAGAATGAAGATTTTTATGTAAGCATATTAAAATTTTGAACTAGCTATTGTAACATTTCCAAAAACAATTCAATTAGCAGGAACATAAATTTAAACGACATTTTCATTTTTATACTTCTAATTTGGAACAAGTCTGCAATAGTTAAAGAAAAAAATGATTTTCACAAGAGGAAACTGTGTGGAAATAAAGGCCAGCACAAAAAAAGTAGTTACACAACTTGTCCTGCCAAGAAGGTTTTAATAGAACATTTTCTAACATACTTTCAGGTTCTGCAAAGCTTGTAATTTTCTTTTGCCAGGATAATGTCAGGTAAGCTGGGCCCAATGCAGAGGAATTTACTATAATACCATAAAAGCCAGTCTTCAAAACCATTTGGTCTTCCATCCCAGAAGAAAAACTAATGAACATATGCAAATACATAATACAAAGACAGTATGTAACATGTTGAAAGTGGCAGGAACAGGGTCCTTTTAAGAGCAAGACACTTAAATACCTACTGAAACACCTATTCAGATAACTCATTATAACCATGGTTGTACCTCGGCCGCTTAATCCTACTCTCAAAAATGTGGTTTCTTAAAAAACACGACATCATGGGAAGTATTGGCACTGACTAGAGGTCCTCTTATGTACCCTCCCGCCAGCGCTAACATCAATGTCAAAACACTACCATTCCTACTCCACCACTTTTGCACCTGGCACAAATTGGATATGAGGAGGAAGACTAGGAGGGCCCCTCTCCGGCGCCGAAAACCCTCAGGTACGCGATCAAGGTAAATTGTGTTCCGGTAGTAAGCCGGCCAGCTACTATTAATTATACAAAAGACAACGTAATACAGTATCGACACATTATGTCCCGTCGAAGGCAGAGCAGCCACCAAGTAAGACTGTCTGCTTTCTCTAGCCGTCCACATGCCGCTTCTAGTTTGTCTCGTTACTACTCACTGCTAATCGTGGCTATAACTATTTTACTAGAACAGGCAGGAAAGTAGCTACGGGTCAGAGAAACGTATGGGTTAAGCAGCAAGCCAAACAATTACTCTATCACGCATAAAACTAACTCTCTGTTAAACACACAGGACTAGCCACTAAGATAAAGAGCATACTGGAATGCTCCTTGCTAACACATGGTAAGTTAACTTGTTCTTCTTCTGAATGGTTAGCTGGTTAGCTGCCTGATTTGAGCTAAGTAAAACTAGCGACTGCCGATCGCCCTCCGGCTCACAGCGCAGCATGAGCTTAAAACCTGCGTCCTGTTACGATCTTTAATGCGAACCGGTATTGTGTACATCTGGAAAGGCTTGCTCCCTGATTGTTGTTTTCTAAATTCACGTCAGGTGTTTGTCACACTGAAACTGGCTACTGTTTCTGAGACGGAAAGGGATTAGCAGACTAGCTACTTTTACTCCCCTCCACTTTTAAAAGTTGCAGACTACAGAATAAATTATGACTCAAGTTTTAAAAGAAAGCACTTCTAACCCAGAAAGACGATAAATTAAATCCTCTGTAACAAAGAGATAATCAGATATTTTCCTTAATGTATTTTTTCTGAAAATAAACACCCACCTGCGTCGGCCATCTTGAATACTCACGAACTGAAGAACAAGGCAAGAATTTCTGTGTCGACAGAGCGGAACAAGCGCATGACGCTTCTCCATTGGTTCATTCTTGAAATGGGATTCGCTGATTGGGTAGCGAGTCCCATGAATTCTAAAATTACCTAGCTCTCTGCTAATGGAGTGGTTATTAGAGTTGCATGGCTGCAGCTACTACTGTCTAAAAAGAAGCCGTATAAACATTTTTCCTTTTCTTGCATATGGGAATCATTCTCGAAACTTGCTGGATAGTGAATTAGCTAAAGTTACTTGTACTCTACATATATGTGTCAGGTATTTGGGATGTTTAACAAAATCTTTAACATAATGTACTACTGAAGAAGTATTAGTAGTTTAGTATGAAAATGTGCCTTGAGAGAAATGTGCTTATAGGAGATGTAAGTGCAGCACAGAACAAATCTCGATCATGTAACATGGAAGGTTAGTATTTATATACTATTGGTCGGATTTGAATGAGAGAAATACCCAAACTCCGAATACAAGTCCAGCATTTCTCTTTAGATTGTGCACTGAAACAGAACTCATGGGTGAATTTTGTCAGTAATACACTTATTAAACTTGATATGTACCTGTGAAAGAATACATGACTACATGCTTAATAGTGCTACTGCCTCTCTAGTAACAGCAAGACACGTGCCCTGTGACTGATCGAGTTCTCGCATTTCAAAGCAAAATAATAAACAAATTGAATCTTAGCATTATTATACAACTTGTTCGTTTAGAAGCAGTTTGGTAATCGAATGTTTTAAATATAAAAATATTTTTCAAAATGTACTGTCAGAAGTGGGATTCGAACCCACGCCTCCAGGGGAGACTGCGACCTGAACGCAGCGCCTTAGACCGCTCGGCCATCCTGACTTATGACAAAAGCTTTGTTATAATACTTAAAATAGATGTCGTCATCATCATCATATACAACACAGAAACCTTTTTTGTTTTTTGCAGGAAATGTGATATTTAAAAATCATGAGTGTCTAGCGTTTTTAATAAACATTTGGGATTTCTTACAAAGCTCTAAGGTTACATGTGTAACCAAGAAATAAAGATCTGTGGATTTTAGTTCTAGCTCAGCTAAAACTGTAACATATGAAAAACAGAAAACTGCTGAACAAACTGAGTACATAGTAATATAAAATGGCATCCACAATATATTGCACTTTGGAAACTGTAAGGAAAGTAAGAATAGTAAGAGGATTTCTTAAGATTTGGGTCACCACTGATCCAAAGTCAGGCAATTACAGATGGATGATATTCAGCATTGTGTCTACCCTCCCAAAGAGTGCCACAGATCAGTAAGGAATGCTTTAAAATATTTGAAGAAATGACAAAGATACTTAGTATGATACCTAATGAGTAATGATCTGCTGGCACTTTTGCACACAATGCCTGTGTTCACCATAACAAAAATACAGAACAAGAGTAGTCATGGGAGGACACTGCAGAGGAAGCTTTTGCTCCATTAAAAATGTTTTGTAGACAGGTGAGATAAAATTGACCTTTTTGGTGAATGTGCGCAGTGTTATGTTTTGATAACCAACACCAAAACCTCATTCCAACTATAAGGCATGGTGGAGATGGTAAAATGGTGTTGGACTACTTTCACAATCAAGTGGGCTTTATTGTCATATCATACGTACCTAAAAGTATACATTGGTGCAACGTAACATTCCCCCATGATTTGGAACACAGGCTGAAACATCTTTGTATTAAGGAATGGCCCAAATTACCATCTAATTGCAGTGCTCTTCTGCTCAGTAGAATCCAGTTGATATTATTTCCAGTTGAGATTCAACTAGTTATCAATGGTCCACATACAACCATCCATAACTGCTCACCCTGATCAATAAAGATAAATGCTGTTTGTTGTCCATCATTATTATGACAACCTTTATGAGGCTGGGTCACACAAAACCAGATATAGATTTCCCCCCAGAAGACCAATGAAAAATACTTACTAACCTACTTGTAAAGCTCAAAATTGCAATTGAAGAAATGGATCCAAGAAGAAAAACACTAAATTTGTACAGTATAAACTTCCCTTAGGGCAAATAGAAATTGGCTTGGTTACAGAAATGCTAACAGATTCCTATTTAAAAAAAATCCACAACATCTGTGTTTTGTGTCTCAATTTTGGAGCTTACTTGCAAGGCATTGTTTCAACAGAAAATATCAGGATAATCAGAAAATTATTCACACATCCAATCAATGAGCAAGCCAAAGAGCTTGGACAAAATAAAAAAAGTGAAACACCAACCTCCTGTATAACAAAACTCTTTGCTACCTGGTAAATTACCTATAGCCAGTATTCAGTAATGTTGAAAACAGGAAATTATGGCATCAATAAATGACTTATCTGAAGCAGTGGTAGAATCGCTGAGTAACACATATGATACAAAAACAGTTTTTGGTCCCAGGTCTCACAGCTACTCTGTGGTCAGAACCCTGCGCTTTTTTGCTGTATGCATGTAGCTATGCAGACGCCACTCCACGTCTGCTGTGGCCTCGTTCTCCAGAGTGCCGAGCTTGATCATATACACTGTGGCAAGACAGGAAAAACAGACTGACTCAAAAGAGGGATCCACTGGGGGGGGGGAATAAAATCATACAAGTAATTCTTATTTACACCATGTCTATATTTACTAGGCATGATTTAAATGACAAGCATACTTTCAAATTATTCCAGCATGCGACTTACATTTCATTTCAAACCTTGGCCCCACTTCTGTTAGTTCAATATTCTTGTGGTCAGTTTTCTTATATGTGTGATGTCTACAAACAAGAATTACCACAGCTCAAAAGAAACATTCATGATCACAGCATCCAAATTATGATATAGGTTGACCAAAAGATTTCTAAAGGGTGGAATTGGAAATCTTGTCTGCCTCACCTGAAGGAAATGTAGTCTTCCTGATTGGCAAATGTGACCACACGTCTGCTGTCTTCTTTGGGCACTGGAAACAGATACTTCAGGATATTGGACACCTGAATAAAGAGAAGTATTTTCAGACGAAAAGCATTACTACCATGACTTGTGTGACCAGTTTGTGTACCACATATCCAAAAACCTCCGATTAAAACCCTCCGTACCAGACTGTGGCTCACATATGGAGCATATCAACTTATCAGAGGGAATCAATACTAGGACTTCAATGTACAGTCAACCCTTCTGTACTGCAGCTTTCCTCATCATGGTTTCGCTATATCGTGGCGCCAACATAAGAAATGGTGAGTTTTGTGATAGCTGCAAATGACATGCGAATGCCAGCAGACGACACTCAAAAGTTTAGTAACTTATAAATGCATAAAATATATGTACAGTGCTAGTTTGGAGGACACCAAGCGTGTTTAGGGCAGCCTCTCACAGTGGCTTGTAGTGATCTTTGTGTCTCACGTTTCTCATGTTTTTTCGCTCCACTCGCATGGTTGTTTTGCTCGCCAAGGGGACCAAAAAATTTCACATGGCTTTTCCAGATCACGGAGGACCTGTGACTCTAACTCTCGCAATGTGGTAGGGTTGATTATAGAACTTCCTAGTCAAACCAAGTGTAGAAAGAAAAGGGTGAGAAGAAAAGGCTGACATCTTTAAATAACCAGGAATCTAACTCGGAAAATATCCAAAGCTACTCACCATAATAATATATTAAATTAATATCATATAATAATATGAAGCACCATACTTTATGTGCACTTCAACACTATTGGATTACGTGAGCACAAATGGAAATACTACAAATACTACTTGTGCCTATGTAACAATGATTGGCGATTTGAACCGTCACGATTACACAGTAAATCTCAGATAAAAAATTTCCTTCTCAATTACTTGACAACTTGATGGAGGGACTACAGCACATAGTGGATGAGGATCCAAATAAAGAGCAAAAGGCTCAGTTCTATGGAAGAACTTCCGATTAAAACTGACTGAAAATGAAGTCGTTTGTCAGTATTGCAAAGCAGAACTTAAATATCATCACAGAACAACAGCAATGCAAAAACATCTTACAAGAAGACATTCGGGTTTGATTGACTCGCCCAATACTGCGAGGTTAGCCATAGATATGTGCCATTTAGCCTCGTAGAGTAGCATAGCCTGTCTTTGTCATCACGTTCACTTAAATTATTTTGCTTACTTTACTTTCTATGCTTCCTGTAAGTCAAAATAATCGCTGATAAAACAAAGATTGGTCCTGTTACTTAGCCACATCATCTTACATAATATGTTACATAATGACTGGACAATAATATTTTTTGTTAACATATTATGTGTTTTACGACTGAATGAGACTGGGAAAAATACACTGCGATATTTAGGAATTGAAAACTAGACAGCCAAAAAGAACTTTAGTAGCAGAGTCTGTCAAATAAGTTGGTGGTGTTGCCGTGTGTTGTGCCAACAGACACAAAGCAGTTCTGAGAAATCAATTACTTTTCCTCAATAATGGAATATAAAATTTTTCCATACAGTGAAAGATGAATCCCTTTTTGGGCCACTTCCTGCTCGCTTTTCCCATCTTTGCTCATTTTTGTTTAATTTCTCACAAATGCTCTAAATGGACTAAGCGTGAGTCCAACAGCCAGGACGAGAATGATTTAAACTGAAACTTGCAAAGTTTCCAGTGACTGAGTAAAAAGGTTTTAGCACAACTAATTGACGGTTCGAACCCAGCAGACTATCGCGGTCCTTACGATGTGACAGTTGCATGTGCATGAAATGTCAAGTGGATATTAACATCATGCAAGCTGTCAGGGCAGTACAGTGACACAGTGGGTCGGGGGGGGGGGTCGCAGCTAGGGTTGCCACCCGTCCAGGATTTTCCAGGACCACCTCAGATTATAGTTGTCTGTCCTGGAAAAAACTAAATTTATGTGACAGATGTGGCAGACCTAGTCGTGACACCCTCACATACAAAGAGGTGCTGTATTTCTGAATATCCTCCAGTTTCCTTCCACTGTAAAAAAAAAACCAAAAAAACATGTAACTTAAGTGAGAGTGCCGATATGTTTGAGTGTGTCCCCTGCAACGACTGGCTGATTCCTGCCTCACACTAATTATATTATATTACATTACATATAAACGATTGCTCTGTGAATCATCAGATTAATCAGTAGATTACTTGATTATTGATATAATCGATCGTGACAGGCTTATTGGTGATGCAAATGTATGACATTTTTACTCAGAACAGCACTATGGATAAGGTTGTATGAGAAATGAGAACATGTTAAGTAAATAAATGTTAAAATATCTCATTAAGAATCTATAGAGAAAACAACATGAGCTAAAACCCACATTCATGCTGTACTCACTCTCTGCCCCAGGCGTGAGGTGAAGTTGTGGAAGATGAGGTGTGGGAAGGCCTCGGACATGGTGCCAATGTCTGGGATGTCATGTCTCATAACCACGTTGTACAATGTGAAGTAGGCTGTGGGTCCAAATGGCAAGTGACACACGACCAAGCCGTCTGTGGGTGGGAATACAGGTAACGGTGAACTACTGGACACTTTATTCTAATTCTTATTTTTATTATCATTTTATCTGCCCATTTCTTCCAACGATTCTTCAAAATATCATCCATCTGCCACAGCTCCATGGCCGCTAGACCCCACGACCCTGCCCGACACCCAGTCTATGCAAGCATTAAACAGTTCCTCAGACCCATGGGGACTGACACAGCCCTCAAAGCCAGCCCTGTCAGTGCCAGTGGTCACACTGAAGTCACCCATGACCAGGGGAGCTACTCCCGTGGAGAGCAGAAAAGTGTCATGCCTGTTCGGTTTGAGCTGTCATGAGATGTTTTACTGTGGCTGGAGTGCCAATCCCACCACCAACCCCCAAATTTTCCCCTGCAAGTTGGAGGGCTGCGTGCTGTGTCATTTATATACTTGAGCATGTCTCACTATACACCTACCTGGCTGGCCTCGGGTCTCATGCAAAATCACCAGGTCTGAGACCTCAGCCGCACGGCAGGCCTGGACCAATGCTTTCACCTCGTGGTTCCCTCTGTTCATACGCTGAGCTCCTGGGAAGATGAGCTTCACTTCCTGATAACCACAATGAGGACCAAAGAAGTCAAAAACACAGACTGCAATGCTGCACCTTCCTGAAACATGGCTGAAGGATAATTATCAGGTTTTCATTTAAAATCTACTGGTATGCTCCATGTATGGCACTGTAACAGACCTTGGCAAACATCTTAAGTCTGGAGCTAGGGTCTCTAGATGTCGTCACCATAATTTTAGGGTCTTCGACTCCACCCCATTTATACTCATCATCAGCGTGACTGCTGACACCTGCCAAAAGAAAGAAAATCACACTCATTTTCTGTAGTTACCATCAGTGTTGACAGGACATAAAATAGGTCATAAGTTGTGTTCACCTTCTGCTCCCTCATCATCATATTCAAGAAGCTTCTGGAGCTGCAAGGCCTCCTTACGAATCTCTGTCGGAAGCAGACGATTCTCTGGAAGATATATGAAGCCCTTAGTACTGTGGTTATGGAATGTATAGAAAGACCACACACAGACTTCAGTCAATAAACATAATCGGTGCATTGTATAATTAGGGCTGTTTGATGTGTTTCTAGAAAAATCCCATTACAACGATCTACACCATACCATGACAGAATTCACAAAAATATAAAATACTTTAGTGTCATTCATCTATTCAGTGACTTGTCATTAGGGAAGGTGGGGCCTTTGGACCTATCCTGAGCAGCACAGGATGCCAGTCCAAAACACAGCACACACCTACACAGTCACACACACAAAGTACAAGCCATCAGTCACTTAGATACACTAATTCACCTAAATGCATATCTTTAGACAATGGGAGTAAACCAGAATATATGCAGGAAGCCTGGGCAACACTGGCATAGCATACAAACTCCACACAGAGTAGGGACAGGACTGCAACCCTCAACCTACTAGTTCTAAAATATCCATAAAGGTGACACAGGGCAACTTCTTGAGCAATGTTTCGTTGCCCACTTTCGATTAAAGTTTTTCAAATATTGACCGAGCAACATTGGTCAGGAACATTGCCCGGCAGCAGTGCTTAAAAAAGTTACCGTGTATCGTCACGCTTTGCTTTCAACTAGATCATTCTGGAGGGAATGGCTTCTCAGAACATTGAACACTGTGGTAGAAATCTTATACGTGCGAGGCTCTCTTACCGTCTAGAGCAGATTTTAACTTGTGTTTTTTCTCCTGGATGGTGCGCAGCCTGTCCTCCTGAGCCTTCCGGTACAAGTACTCCCTCCTAAGCCTGGCTTCCCGTCGCAGCTAAATAAATACACAAAGCGAGGATTAGCGACAACAGCTACAAATTTCGAGTTGTAATTTTTTTTGTCCCTGATCACGTAAACACAACGCGCTACAGATTTCAAGGAGTATATTTCAGTGCCAGTTTTAATTCCATACACGCTAGACAGTTTTGATTGGTATACTGTACAAAAACCATCAAATTCATCGGCCTTGTTGAGGTAGCTATATGTAGCTATGACATTACGGAACGCCATTATTTCTGTCATATCTTGGACGCCAGGACAATATCATTAAACCTACTGACAGTTAAATATATATTACAAATTACATTGTTGTGTGTAACATGTTGGGTGCAATTTCGCTGCCGTCTCAACAATTTTGAGGATTAATTGCCGAAGCAAGAATAGCGGCACGTTATTTTATTAGTATATATATATTTTTTAAAAACCGTCTGATGAAACCTAAGTAGATATACAGAAAAGAACCAGATCTCTATATAATTCAGCTTCACAAACTGGTAAGTACTTCTAGTTGGATACAGGGTTCTTGTTTTTAATGACCCGAAAATGAGTTTCAGCTTTCTTAATGGAGTAACTCGGCAAGAGAACGAAATGAAACACAATGTTCAACATATTATTTCAAAACAATTCTACATTTAAACAAACTTACCATAATGTCTGCTCCGTTTTCAGACACCACATGGGTAAATGAAAAAGACGGATTTCTATTCGACCGTATGCGAACCAATAGTTGACATTGTTACTAGGAAATGACCAATGAGTTTTCCCAGTTCTTAAAAGTTGTCAGATCCGTGGGTGTTACTTCAAAGATTAATATCTTACTTTGAAGACTACGATTTTAAGTAAATAAACAGCTAAAGTTATAAAAAAAGAGATTTAAAAACTTAAGTTGAAACATATAGTGTCAAAAATAATAACTTAAGGGACATTATCTGCCGTGACCCGGATTCGAACCGGGGTTGTTGCGGCCACAACGCAAAGTACTAACCACTATACGATCACGGCAAGCCACCCGTCACGGAAAACAGCTCTCGTTCGTGTTTGTTTGGAGCTTGCATCATGTCCAAGGTTTTTTTTTGTTAATATGAGTCCTACAGTTTTCATAATTTGTTATATTACTAATAATTTATTTACGGGTGCTACAGAGAGCAAGATACGAGAGGCAGAAAGAGAATCCCCCCAGATATCAATCTGTGGGGGTGGTGAGTGGTTCAGCAGTCTTAGTCACTATGCCTGTGATCAAAATGAACTAGCACCCTCTTACCTAAAAGAACTCATCTCACCCCGCACCGCATCACGCTCTCTCCGATCCTCCAGCACTGCTCGACTGGTACCACCATCTCTCATGGCGCAAGGAAGATATGCATCTAGACTCTTCTCTGTTTTGACACCTATTTGGTGGAATGATCTTCCCCTAGATGGCCGAAGAGCTGAGTGATGGGGTTTCTTCAAACAATGACTAAAAGCCTTCCTCTTTCGGAAGTACTTGGATTAGCACGTCCAGGATTACACTCTTGTTAAAAAAAATGATTACTTGCCAACAGATTTTTTTTAGAGCGATATTATTCTTAGGCGGTATCAGAATGCATTCATTGATGAGACTTCTAAGCACTTATGTAAGGGCGTCTGCTAAATGCCATAAATGTAAACATAAAATGATTAATGGGGTCCTCAAGGGCCAATTCCAGTTCCTGCATGATCTCTGGGTCACTCCAACAAAGGCGTGTGACATCATCGTAGCAAGTGTTGTATTCCATAACATAGCCACAGTAAAAGGAGAGAGATGTCCTTTAGTGTGCTTGTAAGATGATGACCTCCTCCCAGAAGGTTTGTGAAAGATATATTGTCAATGTATTAAAGTTAAAAGAAATTATTGCAGATACTTTTCCCCCCCAAATTATTTTTCACACAGTATGTTGCTATTGATTTTTTTTTAATTTAAAAAGTAAATAATTTAAGTAATAAATGTTTCAACGCATTGTCAGGTTACAAAGGAAATTGTGTATTTCATTCAGATCATACCGTTAATTGGTGCTATAGTATTTCTGTTTCCAAATTAGTCATTTTCTATTGAAAGATGCTTCTTGTCCATTTGTAACTTCATGTGATCAAACTGGAGGTCACATTTATGGATCTGCCTTGCCAGATATAACTTGTACATCTCTGGTACCAGCATCTGAGCATGTCGATTTGTAACATGTAAAATCACATTGATATATTATGGAGTCCCATGACCTTACAGTGTGATACAAAGAATGGTGTGCAAAGGGAAAAACATCCAGTATGCGGCAGTGGGCGAAAATGCCTTGTTGATGCTAGAGGTCAGAGGAGAATGGGCCGACTGATTCAAGCTGATAGAAGAGCAACTTTGACTGAA